GAGAAATGACCTTGTCGGTGCGAAAAGTGACCGGCTAGTAAATATTTGTCGTTTTATCGTACGTTGTGATCGGATGTGGCCTAACACTCAATGACACAGGGTTTATACTGGTTCAAGCAACGTGCCCTACATCCAGTTTGAGTCGGTCGGTGACTTTATTCCTGAGCCCAGGTGCTCGAAGTTTGTTGTGGGGTTACAAACGAGTGAGAATAAGATGTGGGGTATCAGAGGTTCGGTCGGACTCTGGACCGAAGGGCCAAAAGTGACGGGAGCTCCTACGTGCGCTAAGTATTGGAATGTATGTTCTGTTTAGCTTTAGAATGTCTAAAGCTAGCAGAGAGAGTGTCAGAATGATCCGTTGGTCGTTGGTCGTTGATCGAACCCTCCTCCTTTTATGAGAGGGCGCATCCCTTTTTATAGATGAAGGGGACGACCTTACAAGTGAGAGAGAGGGAGTGTGTGCTATCTAGTCTTGTTGCCCATGCCGTCGGGTACGAGACGATTTGTCGGCGCCTACAATACTGTTGATGCCCTGATGCAAATGGTTGGTTCCATCATATTTTTCTGGTATGGCGAATGTCGACGCCTACCATATTGTAGGATAAATGTCGACGCCCACAACGTTGTTCGTATCCTGCCATGTTAGAAGGTTGTAAAGTACCCTTCTGACATGGCCAGTACTGTCTTGCAGGTGTGCAGGGTACGGTCCTCGGTATTGCGGTTGACTTGTACGCCTTACCTTATCCGGTCCGCCTGATTTCTCGGGTCCTTACCGAGCGGGCGTCCCCGTTCGGTCGTTCTCAGTCGGCTCCGACTGCGCCAGTCGGAGAAGAGCCGCAGGCAGAGGTTTGGTGTGTTCCTGGTCGGAGACGCGGGTCGGAGTCGGAAGCGAGCGTCGCCCCTCCCTGGTCAGGCCTTCCGGTCGGAGAAGCGGGTCGGAGTCGGAAGCGAGCGTCGCCCTCCCTGGCTAGGCCTTCCGGTCGGAGAAGCGGGTCAGAGTCGGAAGCGAGCACTGTCCCTTCTTGGCCAGGCCTCCCGGTCGGAGTCGGAAGCGAACACCGTCCCTTCTTGGCCAGGGCCTGTCGTTTAGGCACTTGGGCCGGCCCAGGAGTTTACGCATTGTTCGCAACGTTGTCTGCTGGGCCGAGCCTTTACTAGAAAGCGGGTCCATTAGGGACCCTAGGTTTATGAACCCGACAGAGCTAAACCAAAGTTGTACTCGAAAAGGCATGAAACTTTATAATTGATGACGTTTTCATTTAAAAATCATTTAAGGACTGGAAATTTTGTTCTAAGTTGTCAAAAAAAATTAATTTTGATCTTTTTAAATGATCTCGGTTGGAGAAGTGATCTAAACCAAAGTTGCAGTTGACCCATCTAAATTTTAGTAGCTAATTATTAGCTGGATGAATGCAATTGGTATCTTAACTAAATTTTACATAGTTTGACTAAGTATAGAGCTAAAATTGTTTTTTTAGAACGGAGACAGTAGTGCACTCTGCACTAAAGCCAGCTACTAATGTAGTACTCTCTCCATTTTTTTACATGACACGCTAATTTTGTCCTAAGTCAAATATTAGTATTTTTGACCATCTATTTCAAAAATCGTTATAATTTCACAACATATGAATTACAGATTATAAAAGTATTTATAGTGAATCTAAAAACATAAATCTTATGTCATGAACTTATATATCATTTTTTAAATCAAATTTAAAAAAATAAATATTTGATTTAGGACAAAGCTAATACAACAATGTAAATAAAAATGAAGAAATAACTAGTAGACAACATAAATCTTATGTTGCCCTGTTCGTTTCGCTGAAAAGTCAGGCTGAAAACTACTGTTCGCTGATTTGTACCATAGCTGATAAACGAGGCTGATAAGTTCAAGCGAACAGGGACACGTGGAAGGCTGGAAAGCTAGCGTCCAATCCAACACCCACTCAAATTCTAGAGCACCTTTCAATTCTACTCGGCGCGTAAGGGCAGTCCTGTAACGTCCCGCCTCCTCGAGGCCAGGCCCGCTTACATCTGATAGCTTTTCTAGAACATAGACTGCCCTCACAGACCAACACCAGTCTTTTCTGCGCACTTTGTCCTCACTCATGCGCCCCCGCCCCCGGGAAGAACTTCCCGGTCGGTCACCCATCGCTCCAGGCCAAGCACGCTTAACCTTGGAGTTCTTAAGAGATGGGCTTTCAGAAAAGAAGTTGCAACTTGTTGGTATGAGTATCCTATTAATCCTATTAAGCCCTGAGCCGGGGTGTTACATCCTCACCCCCCTTAGGAGGCCGACGTCCTCGTCGGTCAACCCCAGGCCAGGAACGTCCCCTCTTGACCACGTCCGTGTGTCTAGTGCCAGCGCATGTGCCATGCTGGGTGACCACTCTGGGTCCACACCAGCCATGCGCACCATGCCTGCGCAACTGACACACGCACCCATGAAACCGCAAGGGTCGGCTCTGATACCATTCTGTAACGTCCCGCCTCCTCGAGGCCAGGCCTGCTTACATCTGATAGCTCCATGTGTCCAGTGCCAGCGCATGTGCCATGCTGGGTGACCACTCTGGGTCCACACCAGCCATGCGCACCATGCCTACGCAACTGACACACGCACCCGTGAAACCACAAGGGTCGGCTCTGATACCATTCTGTAACGTCCCGCCTCCTCGAGGCCAGGCCCGCTTACATTTGATAGCTTTCATAGGACATAGACTGCCCTCACAGACCAACACCAGTCTTTTTTGCGCACTTTGTCCTCACTCATGCGCCCCCGGGAAGAACTTTCCGGTCGATCACCCATCGCTCTAGGCCAAACACGCTTAACCTTGGAGTTCTTAAGAGATGGGCTTTCAGAAAAGAAGTTGCAACTTGTTGGTATGAATATCATATTAATCCTATTAAGCCCTGAGTCGGGGTGTTACAAGTCCCAACGGTAGACACTACGCACGGTTTCCGTAGTGACCACGTCAGCAAAATTTCATCTATAGAAAATATCCCCCACGATGCAGGTTTCTTCGCGTAATAAATGTGTGTTTTTCTCTCTCTCTCTCTTCCTCCACCGATTACCATGGATGCTCTCTTCTCTGGTATTCTCTATCGTAAATGAGCTCATTTGGCGAGAGAAGCATTGCCAAGACGTGAGCGCCAGAGCGGCTGTGTGGTGAGTCAGCTTGTTGCTGTGGTAGTGTGTGGGCAAGGCGCAGCGTCTTGCGGTGGTGGCGGCGAAGAAAGTGAAAGTGTGGGTGAACGGCAGCCTGTGCGTAGTGTCTTGCGGTGCCGCGGCTCGTGGTGCTTCTTCATGTCGATCGACGTGTCCGCTCTATACGTGTCCCATGGCTGCACGTACGTACATGATGCATATGAACGAACAGCGAACAATCAAACGACGACCATCACAAATTGGAACCCGGCGGTTGCAATGTGTAGAGCAGATCAAGTGCTCAACCTAAAGCAGAACCACCTCCACTCTGTGCCGTCCTCCTTCATGATCTTCCGCGGCTAGATGCCCTAGTAGATGATGATGGCCTTCTTGTCCTGCCCCTTCCGGCGCCGCGGCCTCGTGATTTTGGCGCTGTTCTGGCACGGTGGCTGCTTGCTAGCGCGTGCAGCGGTGGTGCGGGCGAGCATGGTGGGGGCCGGCGAGCGAGCGGGCCAGCGTGGTGGCGGCCGGCGATGAGCGCGCGGCCAGCGCAGCAGCGGCGCGGGTGAGCGCGGTTGCGGCTGGCAAGCGCGCGGCCAGCAGGGTAAGCGCTGGGGCCATTGGCGAGCGAGCGTGCCGCGGCGGTCGGCAAGCCATCACAGGTGCCGCAAATTGATAGAAACGACTCGTTTCTTCCCAACAGTAAAATCGCAGTTTCTTCATGCATCGATTCAAGAGACGACTTCGTTTCCTCTTGAAGAAACGGTTTCTTCTATTTTTCATCTCTTTCTTCATTAATTAGGCTGCCATGTCAGCATTTTACTGAGTTGGCATCTCATTTAATAGAGATAGAAACCACCATTAATTCTCCATTGGGAGTGCCCTAACTCACGCTGCGGTTACGCACTTTTGCCCGGTTCCCCTCCAGAAATAACCCTGTTCGTCCTCGCAACAAGCAACGCACCCGACCATGCCATGCGCGGTCAAGGCCCTGTTCGGCTGAGCTGGATTAAAGCCAGCCGATCGTTTTTAGCTGATTTATTGTGAAAGAAAAATATTATTTGATCTGAAACGTGAACAGTATTATCTGAGGAGGAACCAGCCGAACGAATTGCCGCCCCGGCCCATCGCCATGTGACGCGGCTGCAGTTCTCATTCCTTCCGGCAAATGGGATTGGAAAGGCGAGGCGACGCCCCGGGTCGCCATCACGCCCCCTCAGTCGCAAAGGCACCGTCAGAAATGGCAGAACACGGCAGCGCACGGGGGTCGCTTCGGTTTTCCGTGTCCACCTTGCTTGGCAGTGGCAGCAGGCACACTACTGTAGCAACCAGCTCGCTCAGTCGCGCGTACCTTCGCACGTTGCACCCATCCGATCCGGCATGAGTGGCACAGCGGGGGCGAGCCGCCCGTCAGTTCCCTCCCGGTGCAACGCCACGCGACCCGGTCTCGCGAGCACGCATCTCCAAGCAGGGCGAGACTGGAGCTCGGCCAGTAGAACTGGGAGACCATTCATTGCGTGGCAACGCTGCGCGAGACCGAGGGGTAGGTGCGGCCATTATAAGAGGCTGCTAGCAGTGTGCGAGCGTCTAGCCTACTAGCTGAGCCTGGTGAAAGACCCCCATAGGCCATAGCCCATAGCGTAGCGAGGAGGTGCGGCAGCAGGGTAGGGAGCTCACTGATCTTCTCAGTGTTAATTCCTCCGATCCACAGAGGCTTCAGTAGCAGTAGTAGATGATGAAGTAGTGGTAGTAGTATAGAATCCCTAGCTGCCGTTGCTGTTTTACTAGAGTATCGTCGTGAGCAAGAGAAGAGAAGAAAGAATCGACTGCCGTCCCTCCTCTCAGCTGGCCGAGCATGGCTTCCTCCTTCAACAGCAGCCACTGGCCGAGCATGTTCAGGTCCAAGCACGCCGCCGAGCCGTGGCAGACGCAACCTGACATCAGCAGCTCGCCGCCGTCCCTCCTCTCAGCTGGCGGCTCCAACACCACCACCACCGCCCGCTGCCTCAAGCACCCCCTCTCAGGTTACTCAGGTACGCCACCGTCCCGAGACGATGTATGCATGCATGATACTGTCGCAGCTAGGCTCTTGCATGCCACTAGATAGAGGTAGGGTTTATCTGTTGCGAGGTGGGGATCAAGATCGAGAGGTGGAGCTAGCTGACTCCTGGTTGATTGTTTTCTCGCTCCATCTATGCATGTGTAGGTGGCGAGGAGCGGACCCCGGATCCGAAGCCGCGGTGGAACCCCAGGCCGGAGCAGATCCGGATTCTGGAGGCCATCTTCAACTCCGGCATGATCAACCCGCCGCGGGACGAGATCCCCCGCATCCGCATGCGCCTGCAGGAGTACGGCCAGGTCGGCGACGCCAACGTCTTCTACTGGTTCCAGAACCGCAAGGCCCGCTCCAAGAACAGGCTGCGCACCACCACCGCGGGCACCGGACGCCTGGGGCTGGGCCTCGCGCGCGCGCCGGGCCGCGGGGCCGCTGCGGCGCCGCCCGTCACGCCGCCGCCGCCTCCGCAGCAGCCCTTGATCCAGAACCAATTCCAGCTGCTCGCCTCGCCCGCGCAGGCGCCCACTTCCTCGTCCTCGTCCTCGTCCGACCGCTCCTCCGGGTCCAGCAAGCCGGCTGCGAAGCCGGCGGCGCAGGCGATGTCCACGACGGCGGCGGCCATGGACTTGCTAGGGCCGCTCGCCGCGGCGTGTCCCCATCAGATGTACTACCAAGGCCACCCCGTGGCGCCGGCCTCGGCGCCAGCGCACAAGGTGCTGGACCTCGTAGCCTCCGATGAGCCCGTCTTCCAGCCGCTGCCGCTGGGCGGCTACTGCTTGTCGGCTGCCGAGGTCGCTGCCATTCTCGGGGCCGGGGGCCAGTACATGCACGTGCCCGTGCAACAGGAGCCACCGGCGGCGTTGCCTGCGGGAGCGTTCTTGGGGCTGTGCCACGAGGTGACAGAGCCGACCGTCACTGGTCACAGGACATGCGCCTGGAGCCCGGCGGGGCTCGGGCAGTTCTGGCTCGGGGGCGGCGCTGATTACCATCAGCTGGGCAAGAACAATAGCACCACCGCGGCGACCAACACAGTGGCAAGGGAGGTGGCGCACGAGGACGCCACGAAGCTGGGGTTGCTGCAGTACGCCTTCGGAGCTAGCACGGCCATGGAGGCGGCTCCCTCGGCGGCGCCTCTTGCTGCATCGCCGGCGGGCGCCGCTGTTACCGTGGCGAGCGTGGCTGCCACTACCGCTGCGCTCACAGGTTTGCCTGCAATTACTAATGGTGTCGTCGCCAACTATGATCTGTTGCAAGGTATGTGAAAAGTTGATTAATGTTGGAGTACCTTTTTTTTAAAGTCCGTACGTACATTTTTTTTCTTAGTACAGTACGTGTTATATCATCATATGCTTGGTTTGTGTTTGTATGGATTAGAGACTGTCAGTGTGTCGCATCACATTAACATGATTAGGAGGTCATTTCTCTCGTATAGTACTACTATAGTGGGTCTCTCTTTCAGGTTCGTTTCATTTTTTATATACAGTGTTCAATACTAGTGCTAGGCTGCTAGCTTTGACGTCGAAGCTGTATGCTTGTTGGCATGGAATTGCACAAATCACATTTAACAGCGTGTTTGCTCGTTGTTTCGGCCTCTCACAATAAACGAGCACAGTCGAACTTATCAGCTTAAAAACCAATCAGCGAAAGTGCTCTAAAAATTCAAACACATCTCCTCTTTTGATAAAATAGGCAAAAAGCTCCAATGCAATCACATCTTGCCGATCCCAATACAAGGCTACTGTCAGTGTTTGTATGTCTAAAGGGATGCATGTGACAATCGGTAAGATTAAGCCATGCATGCATGCGAAATCTCTTATAGGAGTACAGTACATATGTTCGATCTTGTCACAGCCTTCCTGCGTGACTTTACCGTGCATGATAAAAGTTGTGGAAATTTGTCAGTTTGCAAGTACAGTAGCTTTAGAAAAAGACCAAAATTTGTGAGTTGTTCTCCCCATCAGGAAACAAAAGCCGTTCATGATGGAATGCTTCAAAGGTATGAACTATTTCGTGGTGACAGAACACCATATCATCATATGTAGATGCATCTAATGCTGCACGTAACGAATCCATCTTTTTGCCCCCTCTGTTAGGCCTTGCAGGAGTAGTGTGGTAATCCAACCCCCCACCCCACCCCCACACACACACCAAAAAAAAAAAGATACAATTTCAGAACAGTACCATGAATGTAAAAATATATCAAGTTTGATTTAATCTTGGATATGAATATATTAACATTTATCGTACTAGAATAGGTACCATTTGATTTGTCATTAAATATATTTTTATAGTATATTTATTTAACGTCTTATACGTTAATATTTTTACCATATATTTGATTAAACTTTAGACATTTTAATCGAGAATTTATCTAGATCTAGAATTCATTTTTTTATGGATGTTATGCTAGCTTCTCTCTGCCGTAGAAAAGGGTTAGAAGAAGGTAAATTTTGCATGCGTACAGTACAAACGTTCTTGAAAAGTTTGATATGACGGTTGTCAAACTTCTGCCGCTCGAGTGCTCGACGTCCAAGCAATGAAGCAAAGCACTTAAAAGTTCCTTTCACACTGTAGAGGCTTCTTTACCTAGAGCGAGCGTGTGCGGCCGTGCGCGTGTGTGCATGGCATAGCATGGCAATTAAAGGCTCTGTTCATGCACGCATGCATTGACTGGACTGTCATTTTACTTGGGTTTTCTCAAACCCTTCGATTTCTTAATTCATGGGCCACGCGCAATAACTTGGACGCAGTATGTTTGACTGTCTCTCTACATGGACGCAGGACTGGCAGTGCCCGGAGCCGGGGCCGGGGCTGTCGGTGTCAGCACCGGCGGTGCACCTGCCGTTGCCACGGCCGCGGCGCAGGAGGGCGTCGTGGCGCTGTGCATCATGGACACCGTCACGGGCAAGAGCGTGGCGCACAACGTCGCGGCTGCGAGGCTCGACGTCAGGGCGCAATTCGGCGAGGCGGCCGTGCTGCTCCGCGGCGTCGGCGAGCGCGGCCTCGACCTCGAGCCCGTCCCCGTCGATGCGTCGGGCTGCACGGTGGAGCCGCTCCAGCACGATGCCTTCTACTACGTCCTGGTATAATGGCAAATTGAACGTGACGCGTGAAAAAGCTAGAGTCCCTGTGTGCCGCGCAAAAGCGCGGATGGCAAGTGGTTTTATTAGGGTATCAGCTGGCATAGGTGCAGTGTATGGCTGTATGCCGATTTATCTAGTCTTCGTTTAATGTCTCGTATATTATGTATGCTTGCACTGCAGTGCACTAAGAACAATATCGTATTGCAATCTCTGTGTCTTGCAAGATAGTAGTATTGCTTAACCGTATATAGTATGTTCGTGTACGTTGTTCTATCTGCAAGTATAGGTCCCGTTCGGCTTACCCCATATTCGGTTTGTTCGGCTTGTTTTTTCAGCGGAAACAGTGTTTTTCTCTCACGATAATTCAGCCAGAACAGTGTTTGTTTTTCAGAGATTCAAACCAGCGAATGGGGCTTAATTCTTAGTACTATATATCCTTTTAAGAAAATGCTATTAATAAGCCTTGGCAATAGACCATTTGCAAGTTCTTGGTTCGGATCGAGTTGGATGAACAAAATGTATGCCCTTTTTTTTGAGGCAAAACGAAAAGGGAAAAATGTGTGCAAAATTTGTTGGGAAGAACTAAGAAAATCCAAACTCATTGTCTGCTTTTGTTCGTCAATCACGTACATCCAGCAAGTAACTCATAATATCGATGCTTCTTCAAGGGTTACACATCATATTGATGCTTCCTCAAGGGTTGCAAGAGTCCTGGTGGGTTCTTGTGTTCATCTTTTGATTCTCCTGCGGCGCTCGGATGAGCAGAAGCTAGTGGACGCCATCGCCAGCCGTATCCCTACCTGGAAGGGCAAGCTGCTGAATGTGGCAGGAAGGACGACGCTGACCCGCGCCACACTATCAGCCATACCGGTGCACGTGTCCATCACGTGCTCCCTTTCGGTGTGGGCAATCAGGCAGATCGACAGGTGCCGGCGTGCCTTCCTTTGGAGCGGCACTGATGCGGTCGCCGGTGGAAGCCGCAAGGTGGCTTGGCCGGTGGTGTGTACCCCCAAATGCTATGGTGGGCTGGGGTCCCGGACCTTCGAATTCTCGGGTTTGCACTCAGGCTGAGATGGGAGTGGCAGAAGAGAGAGCCCGGTGCACCGGCCTGGACACAATTGCCCTCTAAGCCTGAGAGGTTGGTGGACGCCACGTTCAATTGCTCGGTACGTGTTGAGCTGGGGGACGGGGTCTCAGCTCGCTTCTGGACAGATGCGTGGTTGCCGGCTGGACAGATCAAGGCTTTCGCCCCGCACCTGTTCCGGACTGTGGGCAAACGTTTCCTCAAGACTTCGGTGAAGGACGCCATCTTCCAGCACAGATGGGTGCGCCACATCTCTGGAGCTCACACTGCACTAGTGTTGTATGAGTACCTGGACCTTTGGGAGAAACTCGAGTCTGTTCAGCTCAGGCCGCTCGTGGGCGACCGCTTCATATGGCGCTGGACTCCGGACGACGTCTATTGGGCTTCGTCGTCCTACCGATCGTTCTTCCTCGGCATATCGTCCCTCTTGGGCGCTAGGGAGGTATGGAAGGCCTCGGCGCCACTGAAGGTGAAATTCTTTTTCTGGCTCGCGCTCCATCGGCGCATTTGGACAATGGATCGCAGGAAGAGGCACGGGCTTCAGGATTCCACGGAGTGCATCCTCTGCGTCCAGGAGGATGAGATAGTGGACCATCTGCTCGCTTCCTGCATTTTCACAAGGGAACTCTGGTTTCGCTTGCTTCGCCCTAGCGGTTGGGAGCAGTTCGTCGCCTTCTGCTCACTCTCCTCTGTCGGCCTGGTGGATGGATGGGCGGTATTCTGTGCCCGCGCAGCTTCGAAGGGGATTCGATTCCACCGTCCTCCTGGTCTCGTGGCAGCTCTAGAAGGAGCGTAATTCACGTACCTTTGACAACTCCGCGTCCACGGTCTAGCAGGTTGCGAAGCTGGTGTTGGAAGAGACCGACGAGTGGATCGCCACCGGGTTCGTGGCGATCACTGAGTTCTTGATCGTTTCTTCTGTTGTCTAGTGTTTTCGTCGCTCGTCGCACTGTGCTTTTGAGATGTAATCCGCTATGCCTGTGTCTGTCTGGTTGCTTGTTTCGGTAAGACTGTGAACTTTCCTATCCTGGCAGAGTGGCAGCTCGCCGGGATAGCTACTGTTTGTTTTGTTTACCCTTTTTAATGAAATACACGTGAAGTCGTGTTCTAAAAAAAGTTTTAGCACCAAAAGCTCGAATATCCATCATCATGTTCCTCCACCAGAACCTATGGCAGGTGTTCATCTTTGGTTCTCCTACAAGTGTCATAGTTTTGGCAGCAAAAGCTCAATATCCATCATCAGGTTCCTCCACCAAAACCTATCTCTAATATAAGATGGTGTACATCTCAGTACTTCCAAGAAGGATTGAATACTAGGAGAGGTACGAGCCTCTCGGATTATTTCCATTCCAAAGGTTACCTTGTCCGTCTTCTTAGAACTTTGGTCATATCTTTCAACATCACACTTCAGATGTCTTGAATCTCAAGGAAATCATTTTGGGGCTTTCCTGATTAGATCTTCCAAATCATAGCTCACCCTAAGCTCATTCAACTGACCTCTATAAATGAATTCCAATATGAGCCTTTTCATTTCCTCGCAAAGGTTTGGATGAATGGTCTCCGTAATCAGGGCATGACATTAGTTTTTGCAACTCAGAGCGTCAGCTACCACATTGGCCTTATCCAGGTGATAGTGGATCTCAAGATTATAATCCTTAATCAATTCTAACCATCAATGCAATTGCATTTTGAGCTCAACTTGAGTGAAGAAGTACATTAAGCTCTTGTGATCAATGTAGATATCACACTTGTTCCCGATCACTTAGTGCCTCCATATTTTGTATGCACGCACCACAGCTGCATGCTCCAAATCATTAGCTAGGTACCTCTGCTCATGGACTTTTAGTTGTCGGGATCGAGGAGTAGATAACTACCTTCCGATTGTGCATTAGAACACAACCCAAGCTTTGGCTCGAAGCATCACAATAGATGATGAAGTCCTGCCGAATATCAATCAACGTTAGAGTAGGCGTAGTGGTAAACTTCTGCTTGAGGGCATGGAATCTCAACTCGCACTCAAATGTCCACGCATACTTCGTCTTATTTTTAGCAGGTTGGTTGTAGGCTTAACTATCTTCGAGAAGCAGCGAATCCACGATAGTTGCCCATGATTCCAAGGTTGTTGCGAACGTCATACACAATGTGTGGGTGCTTCCACTCAGTTACTGGCTCTATCTTTGTAGGATCAGTTGACACTCCCTCAGTGGTGAGCACATGGCCTAGAAATGCACCTTATCAAGCCAGAACTTGCACTTGCTAAACCTGATGTAAAGTCAGTGCTATCTTAGCCTTTCTAACACAACACACTCACACTCATGTTCTTTAGATGTCTTGGAATAGATCATGACGTCGCCCGATTAACACCACTACAAACTTGTCCAATTCCTCCATGAACACCTTGTTCATCATGTTCATGAAATGGGCTGGGCATTAGTGAGCCTAAACGACACTACCTTGAACTTGTATTGGTCGTAGTGAGTGATAAAGGTTGTCTTGGCAATATCCTCATGTTAGATTATCATTTGGTAATATCTCGGGTGCAAGTTTATATTTAGTACTTGACCTTCCAGAGCTAGCTAAGAAAGTAATCTATCCAAGGCAATAGATACTCATGCATCACCCCCTATAAACGCACGTACGAAAACTCTATCCCTATAAGCATCTTCAATAAATTCTCGAGATTGATGAAATCATTATAAGCGTCTCGCTGTCGACGGAACGACACTACCACTAAAAGCACAAACGCCGTTAAATCCTGAAATATTCGCTCCCATGAGGAGTCGAGCCTAGGACCTAAGGTGCTACTGAGGCTCTTGTAACCCCAGATTATAGGCTCTTTCGCCCTTAGTTGGTAGAGTTCATTCATTAAAGTCATCAATAGCCATCTGAAACATTCTCTTAGCGAGGGGCCCTATATCAGGCAAGAGATCGATCACAAATTTGATATCTCCATCAGGTGGCATTCTACAAATATCCTCGGGGAACACATCATGGCCTGCTAACTTTAAAACAATCGGCCCTGTTCGTGTCGCTGAAATTTAGATTACGCTGATTTGTTGTGAGAGGAAAACATTCTTCGTTCGTTGAAAAGTACTATTAAAGTAGTGCTGCAGAACAGGCCAATATTAGATGTGTTTTCTGGGCAAACTCTTTTCTGAGAAGTTTTTTTTTTTGCGGTGAATATGCTAAAATTGGAAATTATTGGAAAATAGACCAGGCTAGTTTTCTCGGCCGTGAGTTATGGGATTCAAGCGTTCATAAATCATAACTCTTGGAGGAGTGTAGCAAAAAAAAACTCTTGGAGGAGTGTGGGACTGGAATTGATAATTCATGGAGGCACCGGACAAATCACAGATCGGACCAAGGAAGGCCTGCACTGCACCGCAGCACCGGCGTGTCGCTCGCGCACGGTGCAGAGGCGCACGGAGCCGGGCACCGGCATGGCATGCATCCCGCTTTTTTCCTCGGCCGGTCGATCTCACTCGCAGTCTCTCCTCCTCTTTGAGCCCTGCACGGCACTGTGGCTGTGCTGTTGCTGTTCAGCTGTTGGCACTGTGGACTGTGGTTGAGCGTGCGCGCGCGCGCATGGGCGGGGGACACGATACATGAGTTACGTGTGGACAGGCCTCTCCCGTGCCGCAGGGAGCAACCCTCTTCCCCTGCCGTGGCAGCTGGGCGGAAAGGCAGACAGCGCGCGAAGCTCCACACACATGCGCAGGACAGCTACTCCTATCTCTAGCCTCGTTTAGATTGCAAATTTTTACACTATAGCACGTTTCATTTGTATTTGATAAACTTTGTTCGATCATGGACTAACTAGGCTTTCGTCTCGTGATTTACAACTAAACTTTGCAATTAGTCATTTTTTTTATCTATATTTAATACTCTATACATATGTCCAAAAATTGATGTGATAGAGAGA